AATTGTGGGAAGTAATGCTTAGCACCGAGTGGATATTGAATACGAGATAGAGGCTCTCCCGTTATGAAAGGCCGGGTTTCTAAAGTTAATCTCATGAGATGGAAGCTCCCCCGTTAAGTAAGGTTGGGGTTTCTACTAACAATTTCCTTATCCCACAACTATGTGCCCTCATACGTCTTTAGCTAGTGGATCCACCTAAAGTCTAATACATTTTAGTTCTACCTTAGGCAAGTAGGACACCTCTTTTCAGTTTGGGACATGACACCGTTTCCCAACGTTCAGCTCATATGGTCTATGTCGGTTAAGGCTTATTCCCAATATAATGAAGAAGATGAATTATTAACTATGATTGCTCAAGAAGCTTTACTTAGCATGGGTAGGATTATGGAATCTTACTTATGCATTGCACAAGTAGACTTTGAGGGTGCTTATGGTATCTTTCCATTATACTATGATGATTTAAATGTTGAACATACTTATGACTTATGTTCTTCCATTGTCTTCTAAATGAGGTTTCAACTTACAATTTGCATGCATTTAACTAAAATGTCCTTTTTAGCATGTTTTCAAGGATTTTATACATGGATATCATACTTCATTTTTGTACTAACCCATATTTTTTCTACATTTTCCACAAAGTGTAGGTTCCGGTGTTTGAGGTAATCTTCCTTCGATTCAAGCTTGGATCAACTATTCTCCTAGCTTGTGGTGAGTCCTCATGGATCCAAGGACTAGTGATGTCTTGTTGTTCTTTATCTTTCATTATACTACACTTTCAGATTTATTGTAAGGTTTGTGACCCTATTTGAGACTTCGATTGTAATAGATGGCTAAATGAGACAAGGTCTAGACTTCAGCTTTGCTTTTATGAAAACTTTTTAAGGCTTGAAATGCATTTTACTCTTTATTATTCTTTACTTATGTTATGTTATGCTAAGTGGCTTACATGATGCTTTTAGGGCCATTATGTGCCTTGTTACGTCTAGGGGGTACCCTTGGGTCGTGACAAATGAGGCTCACCAACTGACTCTGAGTGCTCAACTGGATCAACAAGGTGCTAGATGTTGATCCTGGTTACCTGTATCTGCATCATAAAATGATGCAGGCCAAATGGCAATAGTACATTGAATGTACGAGCATGCGAGGGGAAAACTAAACATAACATAAGCTTGAACTGAATTCTGAAAGAAACACTTACCTTAACTTTACTCAACTCATGGATACTCAACTCAATGCAGAAATAAACAACAGTAAAGATGTAGTTTATATAAAGCATTTAAACAGTAGGTAACAACTCAATATACATATATAATAAAGTAATATAACTCTATGGGAGTTTCTCTAACCGACAACCATCACTATGAGATATGTGATCATACAGTATTTCGCCCACGCTGCAAGAACTGTCCTATAGTTGGCCGGGATATAGAACGCCTCAACTTAGTGGATCCACTAAAAATTATGACCCTTTCTACCCACGTTGGCTACATGGTTTATGGAGACATGAGTTATTATGAACTCGTCCCCATATCAGTGCTCAATACTACTTCCAAAATAACTCAGCTCATATGTTTAAAAATAAAACTCTTTATGTGGTTTGAGATAATTACTCAAAACTAGCTCAAAGGCTCTCTTGGAAATCGGTGTTTCCTCTCTTGTTTAAAATGTGAAAATATTTACTCATTTAGGAATACTTAGTCCCCATATACTCTTTTTGAAGAAATGAACTTCATTTGTTACTCTTACTTAACTCAAAACTCAAGTCTTAAAATAAGTATAAAGTATTTGCAAAATACTTTTTGAAAGGACTCTAAGAACTCTGTAGACTTAGCTCTTAACTTTCCTTGAATTTGAATTTATGGATTCAAGGATTGTGATTTGTGATAGGAAAGATCTCACGATGTTTAGGAGTTATTTTAGATAGTTAAACATGAGAAACGATCAAGAAATCACTGTCTGGAAACAAGTCTGTGACGCGGAGATGCATTCAAATATTTGGTCGCGAAATAAATTTTGAGGCAGAAGAGTCTGTGACCGCTCTACGATGTGGAGAGAAAATTCCCCATCCTGAGGAACACGTCCGGGACGAGGACCTGATACCAAGATTCACCCGACTTTTTCCTTCTTTATTTTCTAACCCCAATTCGCCTAAACTCAGTTCTTTTGCTCAAATTCTCTTTAGATTTAGATACCCAGTATATACACACAAGAATCTAACTCAAACAACTCAAGGAAACAACACTATAATCTCAAGAAACTCCTCAATCTCAACCAAAATTCAAGAACGAAAGCAATTCAAGAACACACATCAAGAACATTCAAACTTCCAATCTTTTTAGGACGACTTCACGCTAAAATAAACATGTTTGGCACGTGGGTGAATGAACCCAAGGTTATGAAAGTCTTACATACCTCGTACGATCAAATCCTTGATAACATCCGCAATCAATTTCTCACGAAGACGACGAATCTTGACTTTCCTCTTCTCTTCTCTCTTGAGTTTTGCTCTCTAAAACCTTAGCGTGAATTTTCAATTGTGAAAACTAAACCAATTCAGTTTTGACCATAATTAATTCACTAAAAACGAATTTAAATCAATTGGGTATGGAAAAGACCATAATACCCTTCTAAAATCCAATTTTGACTTTCCTTATCTAGACATCCCGACTTCCAATGGGCATATCTCCCTCATACAAACTTGAAATTGAGCAAACTTAGTGGCGTTGGAAATATAATTCAAAGGTCTTTCCTACGGTATCTTGTAGCACACCTAACTCATCATGATCTAGGAGTTATGGTCGTTTGAAGTTGACCCAAAACTCATACTTAGCTTAACTTTGTCAAACTTTCCAAATTTGATTATTTCCAAAAACGATTTATTTCTAATTCTAGATCTTTCAAATAGAGAGGTGTTACACCGTTGCCTCGTATATATGATCTCTTTGACTAGTTGTAGGGTGCATGAGTATTCTCAAAAATTGATTTAAGGTCTTGGTACCATTAGTTAAAGATTAGGACTAAGGATGTACCCAATATGACGTTCAGGACTCGGTATGGGCACTATGAGTTCTTAGGATGTCTTTTGGGTTGACCAATGCACCTGCAACATTCATGAGTTTGATGAATGGTGTGTTCAAACCATTAATGTATTCCATTGTAATTGTATTTATTGATGAAATTTTAGTCTATCGAAAAGTAAGGAAGAGCATACAGACCATCTTCGTATTGTTCTGGTGTCCTTAGGGAAAAAATATTATGCAAATTTTTCTAAGTGTGAATTCTGGTTGTTCGGTTGTCTTTTTGGGTCATGTGTTTTCAAAAGAAAAGGCAATGGTAGATCCCAAAATATTGAAGCACGTAAGAACTAGGTCCGGCCTAGTTCTATGACTAAGGTTAGAAGTTTTGTGACGCTCGCCAGCTACTATCGGCGGTTTGTGAAGAATTTTTCCTCTGTTGCCACGCACTTGACAAGGCTGACTAAAAAAGAGTTGTCTTTTGAGTGGACTGACAAATGTGAAGAGAGCTTCCAAAAGCTCAAGACTCTTTTGACCATAACACCTATTCTGACATTACCAGTGGAAGGTAAGGATTTCATTGTTTATTGTGATGCTTCACATTCGGGCTTGGGTGTTGTGTTGATGCAGAATAAGAATGCTATAGCTTATGCCTCACGACAGTTGAAGATTCATGAGAGAAACTACCAGATGCATGATTTGGGGTTGGCATTTGTAGATTTTGCTCTCAAGATTTGGCAACATGATCTCTATGGAGTCAAGTGGAAGTGTTCACTAATCATCGCAGTCTACAACATGTGTTCACTCAAAAAGACTTGAACCTGAGACAATAAAGATAGATGAAGTTACTTAAAGATTATGATGTCACCATTCAATACCATCCGAGTAAGGCTAATGTGGTGGCAGAAGCAGTAAGTTGGAAGACAGTGAGTATGGGAAATTTAGATTGCTTGGGTGTGTCCCGGCGACCATTGGCTAGAGAGATCCAGACCTTGGAGTCTGGGTTCATGCAGTTAGGCATCTCAGAGAAAGGTGGGGTATTAGCTAGCATTGAGGTTAGGCCCACTTTCATTGAGGACATCAAAGCCAAGCAGTTTGACGATGAGAGTTTGAATGAGCTCAGAAACAAGACAAAGGCAGAAAATGTTGCTCTTGATACAGGTGGTGTGCTCAGTTTTAGGGGGAGGATTTGCATTCCCTGAGTGGATGACTTGATTCAAAAAGTGTTGATAGGATCTCATGGTTTGCGGTACTTTATTCATCCCGGTGTGACCAAGATGTATCGAGACTTGAAGCAACTTTATTGGTGGCTTGGCATGAAAAAAGATATAGGTGAGTTTGTGGCAAGGTGCCAAAACTGTCAGCAGGTAAAGTATGAGCCTCAAAGGCCTGCCGATTTGCTACAGAGAATGCCAATCCCTGAATGGCAGTGGGAAATGATAGATATGGACTTTGTGGTTGGACTTCCCAAGACCATGGGAAAGTTTGACTCCATTTGGGTTGTGGTTGACAGACTAACTAAGTCATCCCACTTCATTCCAATCAGAGTAGACTATAATGCCCAGCAGTTGGCAAGGATTTATGTTATGGAGATAGTAAGGCTGCACGGGGTGCCCCTTTTTATCATCTCAAACTGTGGCACACAGTTAACATCAAAGTTTTGGGGGAAGTTGCATGAAGAGTTGGGCACTTAACTCACTTTCAGCACAACTTTTCATCCAAAAATTGATGGACAGTCGAAGAGGACAATTCAAGTGTTGGAAGACATGTTACGGGCATGAGTAATTGACTTTGGAGAGCATTAGGATAAATTAATACCTTTGTGTGAGTTCTCTTACAACAATAACTATCACTCCAGCATTAACATGGCACTGTTTAAAGCACTTTATGAGATGGGATGTAGATCACCCATAAGATGGTTTGAGGTTGGAGATGTGAAACATTTGGGTTGGGGTGGAGTTGGTAAATGATGCTCAAGATAAGGTGATGAGTATCCAAGCTAAGCTTTTAGCCACTCAGAGTCGACAGAATGAGTATGCAGATCGTAAGGTAAGGGACATGACATTTCAGGCTGATGAACAAGTTTTTCTGAAAATGTTACCCATAAATGGGGTGATGAGATTCGGCAAGAAGGACAGTCTCAGTCTTCGCTACATTGGCCCATTTGAGATCCTTGATTGTGTAGTGCCACTAGCTTATAGGATGTCTTTACCGCCTAGACTATCTGGAGTCCATCCAGTGTTCCATGTGTTCATATTAAAGAAGTATCACGGGGATGAAGATTATATCATCAAGTGGGACTCAGTTTTGTTAAACAAAGATCTTAAGTATGAAGAGGAACTGGTTGCAATCATTGATCATGATGTCTGAAAGTTGAGAACCAAAGAGATTAAGTCAATGAAAGTTCAATAGAAGCATCGTCCAATTGAGGAAGCTACTTGGGAAACCGAGAAGGACATGCGAGATAATTATCCCCAACTATTTGACGATTCAGGTACTACTCTATTCTTGCCTTAGCCTAGTTTTCCTAGTTTGTCACTCGAGGATGAGTGATAAGTAAATTGTTATCTATTGTAATGGTTTATTCTCGTTGTTATGGATATGCCAATGGGGAAGGAATTTGGTCCAATAAACTCCTGAGTAGTAACTTGGAAATTTCCCACCTAGGCCAAACTTGGATGAAATCTGAGTCAGGTGAGGTCTAGGTTAATTCGATAATGGATGGGTGATTTGATTATAAATTTAATATTTGAGTGGATATCCAAGACGATAAGGATTTTGTACGGCTTTACGAAATCAAATTCGGACAGGTAGAACTCCTGTTATTGATTTAAGCATAAAATGGTGGTTTTAGAACGTCAAGGTTCGAGGTTTTGTTCTGAAATTGAAACTTGAAATAGATATTCCGAGTCTCTATCTCCGTACAACCCACCGCGGTGGGATTTTTTTGCCATGGCGAGGTAGCTATGGAGGGCCAGTCGCAAGTAAAAATGGAAAAAGTCCCAAAAATGTTATTTTTATGCAAACTTCGTTCTTGGAGAGAAAATGGGTGACCTGTGTCTATTTCTTCTATTTTTTTCACTAATTCTCGTGCTAAAGGTAAGTCAATTACTCCCCTAATTTGTAAATTGATTCTTAGAACTTAGAATCCTTGATATTTATCCTTGGGGGAGGGTTTTGGCTTGAATTTAATGGTGGAAAAAGCCCTAGTTGGGTGTTAGGATCATGAGATTGGCCAAGGGTTAGTATTTGGATATAATCCAGGTAAACTAGGCCTCTATTATTGTTCCTTTGCATAATTTACTTGTTTTAGACCAAGAACAAGCTGAGAGACTTCGGAAAGGGAAAGCTCAAGTTCAAGTTCCTTAAAAGTGTTCAGGCTTGGTTTCGAGGTAGGTGATGATTTGATTTTCCATCTATGTTATATATGTCTGCTAACTAATCCATTGTATTCATGCGTATTTGTGAATAGGGAAAGATGAAATGAATCTAATGAAATGACTAATTGTGATTATGTAGCATGCAATGAACATGTTACCTGATTGTGCTATACAAGTGTGTAAATCATTCATTGTGGTTCTGACTGTGTTTGTGATTGTGGTTGATTGGATCGGGTGTCACGTTCTGACACATAATTAGATCGGGAGTCACATTCTGATACATAATTGGATCGGGTGTCACATTTCGATACATTATTGGATCGGGTGTCACATTCTGACACACTAACAGTTTGAGTGTGGTTCCATGAGAGGACCATCATTGACTGTTGCATTTGAGATTAATATTGTGAAACTCATATATTGGGCATGAACTTGTAAATTTTTATTCTTTCTATATATGTTTGGTTACTTTGTTGTAGTTACTTGTGTATGTCTCATTTATTGGAATAACCGTGTGATCCTACCAGTACACCATTGTTTGTGTAGTGATACTGCACTTGCTCTTTCTTTGTTGAGTACATGACATCTGTAAGCGGCTATTGAGAGACCTAAGCTAGGAAATCATTGACTTGTTGAGTTCAAGGGTGAGCCAGTTCCTTCAGGCTACCATGGATTCATCTAGGATCTTAGTCCATTTCCTTCGGACTTAGAACTTTCAGACTCTTGCTTTATGTTTAGCTGTTTTGGGGTTGCATCCTCTTATCTTAGACCGTTTGGTTAGAAGTTTTGGTGCAATGACTTTCATGTTCTAGGGGTTGAATTTCCGCTTGTTTATGTTGTTTTTGATAACTTATTGAGTTTATAGGAACTCAGCTTTTAAATTGATTATTTAAACCAGTTTCCACATTTTAAAATGTCGGTCTTTTGGTTAGTATTATTTAGTTAGGTTGTAGTAATGGTTCTCCCACCGGAGGGTTGTGCCAATCACGGCGGTTTAGATCGTGACACACTATTAGCAATATTACAAAGTAAGCTTGTCAATGGCCCAAATATACTTTAATTGTTATCCCAATCTATATATATATATATTATATTCTATATATAATAAGCCATAATGCAACTATCATTGTAACTATCTTGTTAGCTTTCAACCAAAAGCTAACAAGATAGGAATAGGAATACAAATAGGAATAGAAATAGTAGTAACTATCTTGTGAGCTTTCAACCAAAATGACTACTTCTTTTAAATAATAAATATGTCATTGTATGAGCTATTTATTACTCATTCCTTTTGAATTTGTTAATCTGATTTTGATCTGACACATAGTTTACGAAAGTAAATTAGATTTTGAGAAAAAAAACATTAAGTGATACTTGAAGTTGTCCCAGATTTTCAAAAAGACACCTTAACTTTGCGTGCGTCCTATTACCCCACAAAACATTCAAAATCACAATAAATACACATTTTTTACACAATATTTC